ATAAACAAATCATTTGAAAGGCACGCGCAATCTTCGCGAAAACGTCTTGTGGACACATGACATGGGGATGAATATTTTCACGAAACGTTTGTTCGCCACCACAGAAACATAACTAAATATATTGTATTTGTGGCGAACAAACGTTTTTGTCATGTCCCCCCCGTCATGTGTCCACGAGAAGTTTTCGCGAAGATTGCGCGTCACTTTCAAATGATTTGTTTTCTATTTTGAACCTTAATGGTATACGGGAGGGTTTTTCCTTCCGAATGGGACAAATGCTGTCAATTTTTCGATTGGGACTATTCTACAATGAAGTACTATTGGATAATGTAATCTAAATACATATGAAAACGAAGAAGTGGCATTTATCGGACAGAGAAGCGGCGACCCATTAAAATGGCGGCAATTTGACGAAATATCGAAGGACAACAATATCGAAGATAAAATACACTGCGCTGTCTCACAACTTGATGAAATTTGGTTGAAATATTCTTTAGCCCTTTATGATTATGTAAAAGTACAACAACTGGATGATATTTGCAAGACTCGGCGATAAAAAGCAAACAAGACGGCAAAATATGGCTGAAATCGTGTTTTCGTGGGGGGTAAGTGAAATAAAATGTATTATATTAAAAGAAAACAATGACAATCCTTATGAAATCCACAATAATTATATTGAACTAAGCATAGTTTTTCATCCCATGATAATTTTTTTTAGGAAATAAGAAAATTTAATTTCTGCCAGGCATATTAGTTATTTTGTGCATAATCAGCAATTTACCTGGGGTGGTGCATAGTCATTTTCTGGTAAAATATTATACTTAGACAAATTTTTCCTTCCAATGACCACCCCTAAAAGCAACCCTTCTAAACACTATAAGCACTTCAGAAAGGCTATCGCTTTTCCTTTTCGGAAGTTAGAGCTATGTCGACACTGCCATTTCAGGGCACGCTCATTTTCAGGACTTTCGTCCCGGATTCAGGTGTTCGCACATATGCCATGTTGACTGCCATGGTCATTTTACCCTAAAACAGTTGAGATTACCTGTCCTAAATGAATCGCATACAAACTCATATACAGGTCCTTGACTACTTACTTTTCAAAAATTGAAAAAGTGGCTAAAAATGGACGAAACGTTTTTGCCAATTTTAACCCTTTTTCAAAAATTGAAAAAGTGGTTAAAAATGGACGAAAAGTAAAGGCCTTACTTTTTTGCTGTTTTTTGGTCATTTATGAAAAATTGAAAAAATCGGCTAAAAATGGACGAAAAGTAAAGGCCTTACTTTCTTGCTGTTTTTTGGTCATTTATGAAAAATTGAAAAAGTCGCTATAAATGGATGAAAATTCAAGGCTATAACCTTACTTTTTTGCTGTTTTTTGGTCATTTATAAAAAATGGACAAAGTCGCTAAAAATGGACGAAAAGTAAAGGCTATAGCCGTACTTTTTTGCTGTTTTTTGGTCATTTATGAAAATTGAAAAAATCGGCTAAAAATGGACGAAAAGTTAAGGCTATATATAGCCTTACTTTTTTGCTGTTTTTTGGTCATTTATGAAAAAATGGACAAAGTCGCTAAAAATGGACGAAAAGTAAAGGCTATAGCCGTACTTTTTTGCTGTTTTTTGGTCATTTATGAAAAATTGAAAAAGTCGCCAAAAATGGACGAAAAGTAAACGGTATAGCCTTACCTTTACAATCGGCTAAAAACCTTTACAATCGGCTTTAAAATCGGCTAAAAATGGACGAAAAGTTAAGGCTATATATAGCCTTACTTTTTTGCTGTTTTTTGGTCATTTATGAAAAAATGGACAAAGTCGCTAAAAATGGACGAAAAGTAAAGGCTATAGCCGTACTTTTTTGCTGTTTTTTGGTCATTTATGAAAAATTGAAAAAGTCGCCAAAAATGGACGAAAAGTAAACGGTATAGCCTTACCTTTACAATCGGCTAAAAACCTTTACAATCGGCTTTAAAATCGGCTAAAAATGGACGAAAAGTTAAGGCTATATATAGCCTTACTTTTTTGCTGTTTTTTGGTCATTTATGAAAAAATGGACAAAGTCGCTAAAAATGGACGAAAAGTAAAGGCTATAGCCGTACTTTTTTGCTGTTTTTTGGTCATTTATGAAAAATTGAAAAAGTCGCCAAAAATGGACGAAAAGTAAACGGTATAGCCTTACCTTTACAATCGGCTAAAAACCTTTACAATCGGCTTTAAAATCGGCTAAAAATGGACGAAAAGTTAAGGCTATATATAGCCTTACTTTTTTGCTGTTTTTTGGTCATTTATGAAAAAATGGACAAAGTCGCTAAAAATGGACGAAAAGTAAAGGCTATAGCCGTACTTTTTTGCTGTTTTTTGGTCATTTATGAAAAATTGAAAAAGTCGCCAAAAATGGACGAAAAGTAAACGGTATAGCCTTACTTTTTTGCTGTTGTTTGGTCATTTATGAAAAAAATTTTTATGAAAAAATGGACAAAGTCGCTAAAAATGGACGAAAAGCCTTTAAGGCCTTACTTATTTGCTGTTTTTTGGTCATTTATGAAAAATTGAAAAAATCGGCTAAAAATGGACGAAAACTTAAGGCCTTACTTTTTTGCTGTTTTTTGGTCATTTATGAAAAATGGAAAAAATCGGCTAAAAATGGACGAAAACTTAAGGCCTTACTTTTTTGCTGTTTTTTGGTCATTTATGAAAAATGGAAAAAGTCGCTAAAAATGGACGAAAAGTAAAGCCTATAGCCTTACTTTTTTGATGTTTTTTGCCTCTTTTTCAAAAATTGAAAAATCAGCTAAAAATGGACGAAAAGTTAAGGCTATATATAGCCTTACTTTTTTGCTGTTTTTTTGGTCATTTATGAAAAATGGGAAAAGTCGCTAAAAATGGACGAACTTTTTTGCTGTTTTCTTGGTCATTTATGAAAAATTGAAAAAATCGGCTAAAAATGGACGAAAAGTAAAGGCCTTACTTTTTTGCTGTTTTTTGGTCATTTATGAAAAATGGAAAAGTCGTTAAAAATGGACGAAAAGTAAAAGCTATGGCCTTACTTTTTTGCTGTTTTTTGCCTCTTTTTCAAAAATTGAAAAATCGGCTAAAAATGGACGAAAAGTAAACGCTGTAGCCTTGTTTTTTTTTCTGTTTTTTTTCCCTTTTTCAAAAATTGAAAAATCGGCTAAAAATGGACGAAAATTAAGAGTATATAGCGTTACTTTTTTGCTCTATTCTGCCTGCTGTTTATGACAAATGAAAAAAGTCGCTAAAATCGACGAAAAGTAAAAACTATAGGCTGGAGTGTTTTGACATGTATTTTGAAATTATTTTTGGTTCATTTCACTTATCTTAAATTTTTCGACTCCATTTCGCATATTATTGTCCGTTCGTATTTCTAAACAAAAAAAACCAAAACCAGTCTTAATGTCAGAATAAATACAAAGGTAAATAGGTAATCTCAAGGGTTAGTAAAGCGGGGCAAAGGAAATTTTAGAATAATTGACTCCAAACTTTTTCGAAATTGTCGAAAACCAGTTCTCTCATCAAAAGAATCAGTTTCGACTAATAAAAACAAATTCTGTACAAATTCTGCAACACAGGCTAACCCAGTTCCTCCCGAGGGGTGACCAAAGGAAATTTTAGAAAAATTGAAAAGTGCCCTGGTCCACTACAAACTTTCTGAAAATGGGCGAAGAGCATTCTCGGATCAAAGCAGTTAGTTTCGACTAATAAAAACATATAAAATTTTGTTTGTGGAAACACCACGTAAATTTATTACTGCAAAGCTTTCGATCCGCAAGCCCGGATCTTCATCAGTGCTAATAATACGACACTATCAGATTATTAGCACCGATGAAGATCCGGGCTTACGGATCAAAAGCTTTGCAGTAATAAATTTATGTTGTGTTTCCACAAACAAAACTATTATATATTTTATCGCCATGCAAACATACAAAGAACTTAATAAAAATATATTTAAAAAAAGTTTGGTAAAATGCAAAGGGGGCGACCACAGGCATACCTAGGCCCTACTAGGCCCTACTAGGCTGACCAAAGGGGGACCTTCGTTTATTTAATAATATGATAATATAGACATTTCAAAATTCAAATGTTTCAATTCAATCAAAACACGAAACGCCTGCGAACAGGCTATGATGTTTACAATATCCAATCAGAACACGTAGTCTATCGAACCTATAGTCAGCAGCCAATCAACTCTTTGCTTCCATTTTTGAAAGTTATGCATGGAATGTGAACCCAAAATCTAGGCCAATTTCACCAGAGGGTTATTCAAAACAGGCGAAAATAAATACCCTCTGGTTCCAGGGTAACATTACGGTTGCCTGTGGTCCCCCCGCCCACATGCATTTGACCATTTGACATTTCAAATCATGTTTTACCAGTCAAAAGTAATCGTTTGCATGAAAGAAATGGTTTTCAACAAGTTGGGGCACTTTTTCAACTTTTAAAAAAATTCCTGTGGTGTCCCCCGGCCCTTTCCATCTTACCAAACTTTTTTAAAACATGCTTTTATCCCTGCCTCGTCCCCAGGCGCTAATAAAAAATTTCATGCGAGTCACTATATGAAAGGTTTACATGAAGTAGTGCATCATGATGAACAAGCGCCGGGGGTTATGGGCTTGAGGCATCAAAATTGAGGAGCGCCTGGGAGATCTTGTGCCGTTTCTTGCAAAATTTGTCTGTTTCTTGCAAATCGTGGTTTTTCGACAGTTTGGGGGCGTTTTTCGCCATTTTGTTGAGGAAACAACATTTCAAATTGTTCAATTAAGCATGTGATTACAGTCAGATGATATTTGATATCTTTTAACGCTTTGAATGATTCCGAGATGTCAACACTTGAAGAGTTCTACGGGGCCGTAGAAGCCGGTTTATATAATAAATTTACAAGGTATGGAAAAATGACAATGAATTTTTATCACAACGAGCAATTTATTTTAAAAATATACAGCTACAAGACGTTTTTTAAACAAGGGAGCGATGAAACTTTATTTTGAATTGTATTTGCAAGATTCGTCTCAGG